AAATAAAAAGTATTGAAATACGAAAAGGGTGGTTCGATTGGTAGAGCTGTAAGGCTCAAGACCATGTTCTTTTACTAAAATTTCATCATTTTTCCAGAGACGACTTGAATCAATTAAAAAGAATATAGACCCATAATTACTAATTATAAATGCTTTCTTGCATTCGCTTTTATAAAAGGACGAAATATCATCTTTAAATGCCTTAATAGCATCATGAGGGAAATGGAAAATTAGCCTGAAAAATAAGCCAGCTGAGTTGTTTACAATTCTTTATGTTTTTCGCATTTGTTTTGTTACACGAGATACTGTAATTTTATTGGGTCCGGCTAGGGTCGGTACCCTGAAATTTTAGATTCATAGACAGAAGTTCGTCTGATTGGCTGATGTAAATCAATTGCCCGGGTAACTTATTTATATGCTTTAGAGTACTTTTTAAAAAATCAAGTGTTACATACTAAAAGAACGCAAATTTTTATATAGGTCTCTTCGTTAAAGTGTCAGAATATTACCTTTAAAAATAATCTCTAATAAGATCTTATTTAAGTAGTATTAGCTTAGTAGTGACTTTTTATTAAAATGGCTATAGAAAAGAAACTTGAAGGTACTTTTTCAAACATTTTACTAACAAAAAAATCGTTGCAAAAACCACCTGTTGCTTTAGACGACAGTAAATATTCATTACGTGAAAAGATTTCACCCTGATTAGAAGACAATATATGTCTATTGTACCGACGAATTTATACTATAGAATGAATGAAGGTAACTAAGAACGTTTTCGTCTTAAAGAACTTTATTAATTATTATGTTAAATTTTTTAACTGCTACTTAATTTGAATAGGTACAAGTCCTTTAGCAGAAAGGTCTGGATTTAATGTTAAATTTGTCTGTTTTTTTTTAGTATGTTTGGGTTAGTTAATCGTAAATTAAAGCTTTGATTATATCATATTGTCAGAGGTAAAACCGACACCTCATGGAACCTGCGAAATGGACGTTATTGTGGCATACTTACCTAATTAAAGTTGCCATGACGATCCATCTGAAACATGTGCGCCCGGCCCCAGAAGAAGTCATATGAAAGTACACAAGCCTCTATGCGGGACCCAACCACCCCTCCAATTAAAGTAAGGTCGACCTAGACCAACCTGTTGCGCTGGGAATGGACGTTG